GTGAGAGGACAACGAGGCGAGCCCTGCTGGAAGCAGGTAAAGTGGCGTGTCACGAGGGGCCGCCACACCGGGGAGGTGATCGACGACGCGGCCATCGAGCACGGCGAGGAGCTGAGCGACCTGAAATGGATCTACGAGTTCCCGGACGGCAAGGGGATCCGGGACATCGTGACGCAGTTCTGGTACGAGCCTGCAGGGCCGAAGACCCGGGAGATCAAGAATGGCGAGTGGAAGCGCATCATGGGGGACGTGGCCCACTACATCCCGGAGCAGATCCTGTTCACGAATGACGGCAAGGTGATCGGCAGGTTCGAGGAGTGCGACGCCGCCGACGACCTGGCGGAGATCTTTTCACCGCCCAGGGTTCTGGACTGCGAGAATAAGACTAACATATCCGGGGACCTGGCACTGGACCTCAAGACGGGCTGGGACTGCCGCCGAAAGGAAGATCGCATGTGGGCGCTGGCGGAGATCAAGAAGCGCAAGCCCGAGGTGGTGGGGCTGTCGCCACCACGCACGATATTCTGCGCCCTCCAGAGCCTCAGCCAGGACAAGCGCGCTGAGGACTGGGAGAAGCAGTACCGGGAGGCCCTGCTGTTCCTGCGGCTCGCGATCCGCATCGCCAAGGTCCAGCTGGACGCGGGCCGCCACTTCTACCTGGAACACCCCTGGGCTGCGACTTCCTGCGTTTGCCGAGATGAGGAGGCTCATGAGGAACCCACGGGTCAAGAGGATCATCCTGGACCAGTGCGCCTACGGCCAGAAGGGCCCGAGCGGGCAGGGACTGCTGAAGAAGCCGACGGCGATACTCACCACCATGGACCACACCGAGGACCTGGAGAGAAGGTGCACGAAGGATCACGAGCACACGACGGTGTCCGGAAACCAGCGCGATGCCGACGGGAAGCTGCGGAAGATATCCGAGTGGTCGCAGGCATACCCGCCGGACCTGGTGAAGGCAATCCGCGGGGCGATCAGCAAGAACATCGGCTATCAGGTCGAGGAGATGAACACGGCGATGGCCCTCTACGACTCGTCGGCTACCGGTCTTGGAGGAGAGACGTGGGAAACGATCGCGAGGAGGATCCACGCTAACCTGGGACATGCAGACCTGCGGAGGACCACTTTCGTTCTGAGGATGGCCAAGGCGAGGCCGGAGCTGCTGGACGCCATGAAGAAGGCTATCGAGAAGTGCGACGTCTGCGACGCCACGAAGCACCCGATGTCGACGCCCCCGGCGAGGCTGCCGACGCCGGAGAGCTTCGAGTTCAACGAGGTGGTAGGCATGGACCTGCTGTTCGTGGACACCACTTGGGATAACCAGAACAAGCCCAGGAAAGAGACGACCCCGTGCCTCAACATCGTGGACTGGGGAACTGGCAAGCAGATGGTCATCTGGCTCCCGGGCCGAGAGTCAGCAACCATTCGCCAGGCGTGCCGCAAGTACTGGGTGAGGTCCTACGGCAGACCGAAGCGCATCATCAGCGACCAGGAGAAGGGCATCATCAGGGGGATCTTCGCAGACCGGGCGGGCGCGGAGGGCGCCGGGCTGGGCCCAGTCGGAGCGGAGAGTGAGTACCAGAATGGGAAGACGGAGACCGCTGGACAATTGTGGGAGCGGACCTACTACCGCATCAGGCTGACCGAGACGATCCTGAGCGCAGAAGACCAGGAGGAGCTGTTCGACGCCGTCAACTGCGCGGTGAACGAGAGAGGAGCCGATCTACGGGTGTTTGGACGAGGAGTTCGACTACCGGAGGGCACGCACGATGACGATGAGGATGTGAGCCTGGCGACTGCGTCCCGCCACGCTGCCGGAGATCGGGCCCTCGCGAGGTCTATTGGTCTACGGCTGGCAGCGCGAGAGGCCTACGCTCGGGAATCAGTTTTGGACAGGCTAGACAGGGCCAAGAACAGGAGGAGCACCCCGTTCCGAGGCGACTGGAAGCCGGGCGACAAGGTCTACTACTGGAGGCAACAGGGACCAAAGCGCGAAGCCTGGGAGCACTGGAGAGGACCAGCCACCGTCATCATAACCAACATCCCCGGGAAGGCCTACCTGTCCTACCAGGGCGGAGTCATCCTGTGCAGCTGGAAGCAGCTGAGGGCGGCTACGCCGGCGGAGGTCCAAGCGAACCGCTACGTGACGGAGACCGGCGGGGTGCGCAGGCCTGTCGGAACCCAGGGGAAGCGGGCGGTGGAGGACATCTCGGACCAGCTAGACCCACCGGAGTCTGAAGAACGTCCAAGGCCCGAGGGTGAACAACAGGAGAACGAGCGGAAGCAGGAGAGAGAGGCCCACATCCCAGTTCCCGAGGTACTATCACCAGGAGATGGAGACGAAGCTGAGGAGCAGGCGGATGCCCCGATGATCGGCAAGTCGCCAGCGGAGGACGAAGTGCCTAAGAGACGGGTCACCGGCAAGAGGAGCGCTCAAGATGCCATTTTACCAACACCAGTTCCTGAGAGGACCGATCCAGCAAAGAAATCAGTGGACGAGACGCCGGAGATGCCGATGACCGACGACGCTGCGGAGGCGGCCTACCTCTCCATCAGGCAGGCGGCGAAGCGAAAGGAGGTGAAGCTCAAGGACCTGACCGACGAGGAGAAGGAGGAGTTCATGGAGGCAAAGGCGACCGAGCGGGGCAACATCAAGGGCGCGAACGCCATTCGCATCGTGCCACGGAGCGAGGCGGACGAGATCAGGAGGACCCAGGGCGACAGGATCATGCCGAGCCGGCATTGCTACACGTGGGAGCCGAAGGACGGGCGCAGGGTGGCGAAGTGCCGCTGGGTTGGACGCGGGGACAAGGACCCAGATCTCGCCGAGCTGGAGACCTACTCGCCTATGATCTCGAAGGAGGCCTGGATGATGAGCATGCAGCTGAATGTGTCGATGGGCTACGACATCGAGCTGGGAGACATCAGCTCGGCGTTCGTGAACGGCTACAAGTACCAACGAAAGCAGGGGCCACTACTGCGAACTACCGGAAGACGGGGCTCCAGGAGCAGAGCCTGGGTCGCTGCTGGAGGTGTTGGTCTGTGTCTACGGCTTGGGGGGCGCGCCACTGCAGTGGTACGAGAGTTTTACCGCTGAGGCGCTGGCGGCTGGCTTCAAGATCAGCTCCTACGACCCATGCCTGCTCTACTTGCACAAGGACGGCAAATGCCACGGGTCGCTGGCGCTGGCGGTGGACGATGCCTGCGGAGGAGGAGACGCATGCTTCCAGGAGGCGATGGAGAAGATCAAGCGGAGGTTCCCCTTCGGTAAGTACCGGAAGGGCAAGGGCGACTTCCTGGGCAAGCAGCTGGAGCAACTACCCGATAAGTCGGTCAAGATCAACCAGAAGGGAATGGTGGGAGATATCCAACTGATCAACATCCCAGCTGGACGACGCGCGATGGTCAACGAGCTGTGCACGGAGAAGGTGATCTCTGCGCTGAGGGCCGCGGCAGGATCATTGAACTACGTCGGCCGGGAGACGCGCCCCGACCTGAGCGGGCCGGTCTCGCTGCTGCAGAGCACACAAGGTGTCCGACTTGCTGGAGGGCAACAGGGCGGTGAGGATCGCGAAGGACTTTTCAACCCGACCCTCTCGATCAGGCCGATCGAGATGAAGAACATGGACTTCTACGCGGTGGCGGACGCAGCATGGGCTAACGCGAAGGACCAGGCGAGCCAGGCGGGCTGGATACTCGCGGCAAGGGACCTGCAGATATGCGACGGACTGTGGGGCAAGATATCTCCGCTGGCATGGAGATCCCATCGACTCGCTCGGAAGGTGCCGAGCTCGCTGGCTGCTGAGACGCTGGGCGTGGACGAGGGCCTGGCGAACGGCATCTACCTGCGCAGTCTGTTCACGCAGCTGGCCTTTCCTGGACTGGATGCCAGGACGGCGCCCGAGGCCGGAAAGACGTTTCCGCTCACCGTGGTGACGGACAGCAAGTGCCTGTACGACCACTTGCACAACATCTCCGCTGGCCCGAGCAAGGACCGTCGGACTGCACTGGACATCGCAATCCTGAAGGAGAGCATGCGGGAGAGCGGCGCCGGCATCCGCTGGGTGGACGGCAAGCGCTATCAGATCACCGACCCGCTGACGAAGCGGAACGGATGCGCGGACCTCCTGAGAGGCATCTTGTACAAGGGAGAGCTCGTGATAGTGGAGGAGGAGAAGGCGCTCAAGATCCGGGAGACGGAGAGAGCCTCAAGAGTGACCAGGAGGGGAGCCTTCGGATGACTGGCGACCACGAGCCCGAGGGACTCAAGTACTGCGGGGAGCACATCATCTACTAAGACATGCACGCCACTATCCAGCGCTGCGCGCTCGATTCAGTTCTAGTTATAAGAATGTATATGCGAGTTTTACACATCCATATCAACGCGCTACGCGCGAAAGCTTGGTTTCAACCCTGTTCGAACCCCTTTTTCGAAGCAGTGGAGGGGAGCTGGCTACAGGTGTCTTGGCTTCTAGAATTCTGGGGCGTGCGAGCTGCCCTAGGGATCTTTTAGAGGATTCCTGAGGAAGCCAGACACTCAGCCCCTTCCGCAACCGTGTTTGGTTCGAGCAGGGGCTTCGGCCCCTTTGGAGGCAGACGCGCGTGTGCCTGAGCTGATACCGAAAACGAGTTTTGCGATAGCTGCCGCTTCTGTTCCGCCGCTCCACCGTGTTTGGTCATTGTCTTGTATTCTGGGAGACTTAGATGGAATTGGGGCAGAGAGCAGCAAGCCTAATCCGCGGAGCCCTGTGGCCCCACGACGGTTGTGATAATATCAAAAACCATCACATCATCAGCAGCAGCCTCGACAACGATTCCATTCCAGGTGGACGGGGGGAGGGGGGAGGAAGGAAGAGGGAGGAGGGAGGAGGGAGGAGGCAGTAAGCAGGAGGGAGGAGGAGGTGGAGGAGGAGGAGGAGGAAGGAGATGGCGCGGGCTGCATAGGGGAAGGACAGAAGAGGACAATACCGCCAGCTAGGGGAGCCGGGCATGGGCGCCAGGTGGTCTCGGTGACGCCTGCCACTTTGCAGGCCCCCGCTCCTGATTTATTTGCTGCTGGACTCCTTGCCCTCCCCCCTAACGCCACATCATCCCCCTCGCCCTTCTAATGCCGCTGGTTTCCCTCCCCTCCGGGTCTTTTCTACATCCCGTTGTTCCTCATCCCCGCCGCCCTTCCTCCTCCCTCGCCATCATCGCCCCCGTTCTTACTCCACAGATTGCATCGCCCCGCCTGCACTATCCGCCCCGCCCTGTTCTTCGTTGTGTTCTCTTGGTGCCCGCCTGAGACGCTCCTCGTCTGAACCCCTTGTTTCCTCCCCCGCCCACCGCCTTCTCCCCTCCCTCTCCTCCCTCTCATCCTCCTCATCTCTGCTCCCTCCACCCTCTCTCCTCTCCCTTCTTCTGTACAGTTACAACACGCTCTTATCTTCCCTGATCATGTCCAGTGCTGCCGCCCTGTCTCGCGTTCGATGTTTTCCCAGCACGTTGTATGTCAACCTTTTGTATTTCGTTTGTGCGAACTCGAATAGAACCTCCTCAGCCCTTCAAACTGGTGGTCCATTTGCAGCGTTGGGTACACTTCAGGATCGGCGCTTTGCGAGTGCAGCTTAGATTGGCTCTCTTGCCCCAGCGCGGGCAACTCTTCTGAATCCGCCTTCTCTTCACATCATCCGATGACGAGCTTCGCAGGCTGACCGACGCCACCGTCAGGACGCGCCTTGCTTCCCGCAAGGGGTACTCAGCAGCGGGAACAGCGTTCGGTTCAACGACGTGCATGCCTCGGATGCCAAGCTGCTGGTGCTCTTCCTGCAGCAATTTGTCACTGTGGGGGGCATGATGCCTCCCCCTTCCGCCACCTTGGTCACCCTGCGCGCCCGTAGTGGGTCCCCGGCGGACCACAGTGGCACTCGGCGCCCCAGGTCACAGGGGAGACAGGAGCGAGGGCCTTTTTTTCCGGCGACGACCGCGGCCAGGCTACTTCTGTTCCTGGTGTGTCTCGTCTTCGTTTGCATCGTCCTCTTCCTCCTGCTCCTCCTGCTCCTCCCCCGCCTCCTCCTCCTCGTCCTCCTCATCCTCCTTGTACAGCGCCCCCTTTTCTGATTGCGCATCACGGGGTCAGGTGGGGAATCAGGATGTGCCAGGACATCCCAATCGGCGGACAGAACATAATACCGCGCAGTGGAAAGGGGTAGGATGCCCGATATGGCGCAAGCGCCCCTGGTTTGTTCCCCTCCTCCCCAGACCCCCGATGTTCTGATCGTTTCGCAATTGGGCTCTCTGGAGGTCTGCACCTACACCTTAGGCGATGCTTAAGAAAACCTAAGTTTTCGTCCAGAGTTTCGATTATTCTTAATTTTTCAATAGAAATCCCAAGATTTTGATAGAAGTTCTGGGTTTTATTCCATTTCTGAGACTATGAATTTCTTAACCCATGATTTCTTAAGCATTTCGCAGGGTGTACAGTCAAGACGCTGAAACAAGGACCGCGTTGGGTTCAGGACGGGCCCCGGTTGTCGGGCCGTTCCTTTTCCGTCTTGGTCGTGGAGCCCCTTCGTGGCCGAGGCTCGCCGTGGCCAGAAAAGCTCTTTCTTTCCTCCTCCTCCTCCTCCTCCTCCTCCTCCTCCTCCTCCTCCTCCTCCTCCCTCTCCTCCTCCTCCTCCTCCTCCTCCTCCTCCTCTCCTCCTCCTCCTAATCCCCCGGTTGGCGTGACGGATTGTAGCACGGTGGCTGTATTCCCAGGGACCGTTGCTTCATCCCAGGCAGCTGTCTGACGGTCCTGGAGCCCCGTGAGGGTCCTTGGAAGCCGAGTCCTCGGAAAAACACGTCCGTCGTGTATGGGTCGCGAGAGGAGGTGGCGATCTCTCCTCTGTGCCATCCTCTCCCCCGCGCTGGGCACCCTCAGGGCTTCGAGGCCAACTACGCGCACTACTCCTCCGCGCGCGTCAACCGCGGCGACCCTGCCGCGCGGCCGCTGTTCCTTCGGGAGACGCCGCGAGGGAGGGGGGGCACAGTGAGGGAGGTAGGATCGAGGAGCTGTAGAGGACTAGGGAGGCTTGGGGTTCGAAGATCGAAGGGGTTCGAGATGCGAGGGCCGAGACGCCGCGAGATCCGAGAACCCAGCAGGATCGAGGGGAGGAGGAGGGAGGAGGAGGGAGGAGGAGAAGGAGAGGGGAGAGTGACGTGGCTGAAGAAGAGGAAGAGTGGGATGGAAGAGGGGGGGACGAGGAGGAGGAGGGGGGGGTGGCCAGAGGGGTGGGGAGGACGAGGAGGGGAGAGGCGGAAGGCTCGAAGATCGTAGGTTCGACGTCGGATTTCGAGGATCGGACGTCGTAAGGTCAAAGATCGAGGATCGGAGGTTCGAGAATTCAGGATCGAAGATTGGAGCTTCGAGTATCCAGGATCCAGAAGAAGGAGGGGGCCGCGGAGGGAGAGGGGGAGGCTGGGGATTCGAGGCTCAAGGATCCCGGCTTGTAGGAGCTGCTTCCTCATATTTTGGATCCTCGCCACGGTTGAGCCTAGCGCAGCGCTGCACGCCGCCACCGCCGGGGTGACTCAGCAGCGCGCCTGGCCCGGAGCAGCGGGCCGCTGCCGCAGGGTTGCTGCGGCGCGGAGCAACTGCATGCCACCATCGCCGCGGATTCGGTCAAGCTCAGAGGGGGATGGGAGGAGCAAGGGAGGAATGGATAGGAGAAGAGGAGGAGAGGAGGAAGTAGACGAAGACAAGGACGACGACGACGACGACGACGACGACGACGACGACGACGACGACGACGACGACGACGGCGGCGGCGGCGGCGACGGCGACAGCGAGGGCGAGGGCGACGGCGATGTGGTGCGCCACGTTGGCGGCCTGCGTAATCCACCGATTGGGGTCGCAGCGTCCTCCCGCGCAGGACCCCTTCCCTTTCGTCGCTCGTGCCCCTCCTGGTGCTGATGGTGCGGCTGCTCCCGAGTGGCGGGCGATTCTTCAGGAGGAAAAGGAACACACAGACACAATTATTCGTCGATTCCCCAGAAAATATGGGAAAATATGGGAAGTGGGGGGGAAGACAGAAACCCAGAAAATATAGGAAAATATGGGGAATCTTTTTTATTTGTGTATATTTATTTGTGTGTCCTGGGGCCTCTTCAATTCTGGTAGCCAGCACTGGAGGAGGCATCGGGAGGGGGTGGGGGGAGGTCCTGCCCCCGCAGATCTGCACCCCCCCGCGGCAGGAGCCGAGCAACCCGACTGGCAAGGGCAGCTTCGGCTCTTCGGGACCCTGCGCCGCCGGCGCTGATGACGGCAGGTCTGTGCCGCCTCGTCGTGGTGGCGAAGAGAACTATGCACATGCACCGATCCTGGCAAGGCCCAATTTTGACCCAGGATCGGTGCATATGCCTTCCTGGCCAGGGTAGGAGGGCGTATGCACCGATCCTGGGCTCAGGATGGGCCTGGCCAGAATCGGTGCATGTGCATAGTTCTGTTCCCTCTATCGTCGTGGTGGCGAAGGCCAGCGCGGGCGTTCGGATTCGAGCACCCTCCGGGGTCCAGCGTCGGGCCCTCGGCCCCGCGGAGGGCGACCCACATCGGGAAATGCACGGAGGTGAAAGTCGGTTGCCCCTGGGGGGCCCCAGCAGGGAAGCCGATGCAAGGCTGGAGCGCGGTGTCATGAAGCAGAGCCGACGTCTTCGCAGCGTGAGCCTGCCGTATGGGGAAGGTCGAGGAGGATGCGGGAGTTGCAGGGCAGGTGGGAGAGGAACAGGTAGGAACCCGAAGGGGAGGGGTGTGGTGAGGCGAGTTTTTGTTCGGCGGAACGTGCAGTTTGGGCACTGGGCGACGATCCTCGCCAGAGTCGTCGAGCCCCATGCCGACGAAGAGGATGCCGTCGATTGCAAGAGTGACACAGCGCACGCGGCTTTGCTGCGGATTGCAGCGCTGTTAAGTGGAGAAGGGGATGGAAGGGGCAGCTACTGAATGCCGATGATTCTGAGTGACTCGTGATGCCATGGAAACGGTTTTCCGATGGCGCGCCTAGTGCACGCTTGCAATTGTAGACGAGGAACTAAGGGTGATTGAGATGGGCAAGGATGAGCAGGGGCAGGAGGAGGGGGAGAAAGAGTCTTAGGAGGACGAGGAGAGGGAATGAAGGAACGACGGTGGAGGACGGGCAGTCGTGAGGAGGAGTGAAGAGAGAAGGAAGAGGAGGAGAAGGACGAATAGGAGGGAAGCGAAAGGGGAGGAGGAGGAGGAGGAGGAGGAGGAGGAGGAGGAGGAGGACCCGAGTAAACCCAAGATGCCTCAGCGATGCTGGAATACGCCCACCCCACACAAGTCCCCTCATCAGAAGCGCCAACAAGGAGTAATTTTCATTGTGGGAGCGTCTGCCTAGTCTTCAAAATTCAAAGTCGTCGCTGTGTGCCGTACCGTGTCTAGCCTACCGAATGCAAAACAGTTGCCGCCCGCGTGCCGTGCCGTGCCTTGCACATGCTGTGTTTCGTTTTCCGAACGACAATCAGTTTTGACGAATTTGTCTTGCGCGCGCGAGCCCGCATTGTAGATGTTTCGTGGCAGCGAGTGCAATACACCTTAGGCGGTGCTTAAGAAAACTTAAATTTTCGGCCAGAGTCTCGATTATTCTTAATGTTTCAATGTAAATCCTAAGATTTGAATGGAAATTGTGGGTTTTTATTCAAGTTCTGAGACTATGAATTTCTTAACCCATGATTTCTTAAGCATTTCGTAGGGTGTAGAGGTCCCATTCGCATTGTAAGGACCGGTTTCAGTGGCCCCGAAACCTTACGTTGGCTCTCGATTGCCCCGTTGGTGGCTCCGCGGGTTCGCAGCAGTCGGTGGCCTCACGTTGGTGACCCGCTCGGGCGGCGGAATGTCTCGCCTGGCACGCCCTCCTTGCCCCGCCCGGGCGGCGGCGCTGCTCCGCGGATGCTCGTCTAGGCTGTCCCTGGGCTGTGTGCGGTGCCGTGCGGGTGTGCCGTGCGTCTCTCTAGGCCTCCTAGATGGGGTCGGAGCAGATGGGGTCGGAGGATCGCGCCGCATCGTCGATGCATCGCCGATGCGGCTCGATGTGCAGCCCGATTTGCTCCACGTCGACGTCGCCGATGCCTCGCCCACGTCGACGATGCATCGCCAGTGCATCGCCGATGCATCGGCGATGCATCGGCGATGCGGGGCGATCCTCCGACCCCATCTACTCCGACCCCATCTAGGAGGCCTCTAGTCTCCGTGCATGGCCCGTGTGTGCCTTGTTCGGGTTGCCGCACGTGGCAGCGTGTTGCTACCAGGGTGCCAGGGCGGGGCAGCAAGTGATTGCCAGGCTCTCCTCACGGGTGGTCGGCGTGCCGGCCGTTGAACGTTCCGTGAGCCGATCCCGGCAGTCCCTCACACCTGCTGGTGGTTGGCCGAGTGCACCAGGCGGTGCGGAGTCGTGCGGGGGGATGGGGGCGCCAGTCACAGCGCCGCGTGTTGTGTCGTGCCGTGCCGTGCCCGCGTTCCAGAGTGCGAGACATTTTGCCGTGCCCGCGTGCCGTGCCATGCCCGCGCCTTTTGACCAGGAAAAGACGTTGCCGCCCGCGTGCGGTGCCGTGCCCGCGCGTCGCGCCGTGACTACCCGCGTTCTAGAAGGCGGAGCAAGAAACCTCCCGCGTGCGGAGCCGTGCCGTGCGGTGCCCGCGGTCCGTCGCGCGTCCGCGGGCCGTGCCGTGCCCGCGTTCTGGAGTGCGGGAACTGTGCCGCCCGCATGCCGTGCGGCGCCCGCGTGCCGTGCAGTGCCCACGTGCGGTGCCGTGCCTGCGCGCCGTACCGCACCCTTGCCGTGCAGAAGTTGTCAGAGGGAGGGGAATGTGCCGCCCGCGTGACGCGCCGTACCCGCGCGATACGTGTGCCGCGTCGCGCCGTGCACGCGCACTTGATGCTGATTCATCATGTGTCCTCTCATGCAGCGTTGGGGTCAGGGTCCCGTGCTGGTGTAATCTCACAGCGAGGAGCCTCAGAGGCTTGAGCCGTTGGCGGCCCTGGCGCCTGGTAAGGCCCCCCAGGGGCCGAAAATAGCCTCGACAGATCCCATCGTGATTCTTTCTTTCACGGCGCGAGTGCTTCTGGGAAGCTTGTCTTTCCGCCCTCGATGGCGCCGGCGGCGACAAGTGCGGCGGCAGCGCGCCCGGGCGCCCGCGGAGGACCCAGGCGGGGCGCCGGCCGCAAGGGCGGCAGGGGCGGCTCTGGGCGCATCGGCCTGCAGGCCGTCCGGGCAGCCCCTCTGCGCGCCCCGCGGCTGCCGACGCAGCTGCCGACACCGCCGCGGGCCGCGCCCTTCCGCGCACTTCAGGCCAGGGTTTCCTTCGTGTTGGCCTCTTCGGGGCCGTTTCTCGCGGCCCTGGAGCCGATGAAAGGCTACCTCTGGGGAAGGGGTCCCGGACTCTCGGGCCCACGGACTGACGAGATCGCAACATCTGAAGTATGGGTCCTCGCTCGGAGCTCGGAAGGTCTCAAGGACCGCCCCTCGGCGCGGCCAACGTGTACGTCCTTCAGCCATACCCTGGTGTCGCCGCCATGGTGGGTGGCGAGGGCCCACCTGTGCAAACCACCCAGCGCCTTCACTATCCTGCACCCGACGGAGGGCTTGCTCGTAAGGGTCCTGCGAGCAGGACCCTCCGTCTGGAGTTTCCTCACGACACTGGGGGGTGACACTACAGTCGGCCCAGACTAGTAGGTCGACCCTGCCAAATCAAGGCTACCCTTGCGTCCTGTGTCTCGCGACCCATGCTTCCTACATTCCTGTGGCAATGTGTCCTCGTAAGGGTCTTGTGTCCTCTAGCGTGTCCTGTCCAATCGAGTCCGACTGTATATCTGGCGAACTGCAGGTGGGCTGGTTCCGGCCCTGGTGCACTACCACCACTAGACCGTGCGGATTTCCCTCGGCTTGCGCGGAGGGGCAGAGCGCCGAGACCCCAGTGCCGTCGTCTGGGTGCAGGGTTACCTCCGGCACTGCACAGAGAGCACGGGCCCCCGTACGCGACAACGAGCCAACAAAAAATACTGCACCCAGCTTCCACGAGAGCCGCGCCGGCATGGCATGACCAAGTTTACCATCTTGTGTGGAAGGCACCGGACAGGCTGCCACATGAGCTGCTTATGGACTCCCTTGCTGGACACCCGGGTCTCAGCATTTGTCGCTGCCATCTCTCAAGGACGCACGCTTCACAGATCACCACTTTGTGGTTGCTGAAGTATGGGTTCTCGTTCTCGTCGCGCCAACTTGTTTACCCAGTTGCAGTGTCGGGAGGCCGGTTCGGGGCCCAGTACCGTCAGACAATAATTCAGGACGGGGACGGGTCGAGAAATTTGGCGATATCGTGTCGTCGCCACCGCGGCCGTCGTCGCCGCCACCGTGGTCGTCGTCGTCCTCCTCCCTCCTCCTCCGCCTCCTCTCGTGGATTGAGTTTGTTACTTGGGCGCGCCTCCGTGGACCCTGAACCTCCTCGTGCTCCCCATCGCGGTTCGAGGCTATGGATGCATCTCGTGTTGTTTTGTTGCGCCTCCAGGCGCGGCGCCTTGTCGCCAGGGTCAGATTGCCCTCGGGATCCTGGCCAAAGTGCTTCGCGCCCGCGGGAAGTTGGCAGCTTCCCGCCAGTTCTCCTGCGGCCATCTTGGGGACAGGGTCCCCGCCTCGTGCTCTTCACTCGAGGCGGCCACCGCACCCCCTGGAGAGGTCCGGGGGTCGCACCCCGCGGTCCGCGGACGCTCTCCGCGGTGCTTCGGGCCAGGCGCCTCGATGAGGGACGGCAAAACGGCGGCGCGGGCCACGCTCACTGATGGTTCGGGGACGGGAGTCCGGAGGGTCGCAGGGCTGTCCATGGCCATCGATTCAACGATCCCGGCCAGGCCGATCCCAGACCCGGTATCTGCGTCGACGCGTCCTCGGCAAAGCCATCGGGGCATATGCACCGATCCCGGACCCAGGACGGCTCCGCCAGGATAGCTGCAGTGGTCAGCTGACGTCGCCCGAAGGATACGTGAAAGCGGTTTGCGCGTGGCATCGATCGGTTCGGCTGTGCACGCCTGCCCTCCCCCCCCGGCCCTTCCTCCACGGACGTGAGGGCGGCCTATGGATGACACGCTGGAACCGTTCTCCTTGATGCAGGCCTTGAGATGGGGACCCAAAGAATATACACCATCACCACCACGTCGATGCCTCCTCTCTCTCCTCTGCCCTCCTCTTCCTCCCCTCCTTCCTGGGAGAGGGAGGGGGTGAGGGAGGAGGTGGTGGTGTATATTTGGGGGCCCCCGATTGAGATCCGCCCCACGCTGGCCCATGGTGCCACTGCTGATTGACTATCCAATTGGCCTTCGGCACATCCCGCCACCATGCCCGTGCTTGTGGGCCAGAGGCCTCTTGGATGCTTGTTGAGTCTCTTGGGAAGCTTGTGGGGGACATGTTGCGGGCAGTTGTGAGGCCTCTTAGGGGGCCGTTTTGGGGCCTCGTGTGTTGGCCTTTTGGCGGTCTCTTGGGGCTTCTTCGGGGCCTCAAGGGCGCCTGCTGGCGGGCCCGGAGTGCTTGAAACGTTCAGTTCGTGCTCCCCCTCTTGGGCTCCTCTTGGGCCGTCTTGGAGCCCTCTCGCGGGTCTCTTGGGCCGTATTGGAGTTTTCTTGAGAGCTTCTTGGGCCGTCTTCGATGTTGTCAACCCCCACGAGGCGGATATCCCCAAAATTGCGCGGCTTCCTTATGGAATGGGACGATCTGCGCCTCGTGGGGCCCTCTTGGAAGTGCTTTCGGAGGCCTCTCGGGGCGTCTTGGGCCGTCTGAAGGCCATCTAGACATCTAGATCATCTTGGAGCGATGTTTCGGCGACTCTGGACCCTTTTGGCGGTTTTTTGGTGGCCCTCTTGGGCCCGAAAAGGCAACGCGGCAGGGCGCGTCAAGCCCTGGGAGAGCCCCAGAAGATTTGAGACTTGTGAGTCCAGGCCTCTGAAGACTCTTCAACCCAGAGAGGCTGAGGAAAGTTCAAGGGACCTGAGTGACCTGAGGATGCAGGCTGACGGGTGGCGCCCGTCTCGTGCTGGACGGCCTTACGGTCGCGGCCTTCCTGTTCCTGAGAGGCCACGGCTGGTCAGATGTTCGTTCTCGTGGTATGAGGAACGGCCATCCGCACTACGTCCTTCCATGCAGCGGCATTCCAACTCGTGCCTCGCGGCACGGTGGCTCATAGCTTGCTTAGGTATAGTAACCAAACAATGCGTGCATGGTCTCTTGCGTCTACCTGGGCAAATTCTCCTAGCACAGTTGTCTTTGCACCGTGCTCAAGACATGTTGAATGCCCTCTTGCGTCGGTTCGGGTACATATTCCTATCCACTATGACCTGCACCGCTCTCAAGCACCCAGCCAGGTTGAACGAGTTGCAGGGGGTGTTCAAAGGGAGCGCTGGACAACTTGTATCCATCAGACGCTGGTACAGACTGACTCATATAAGTAGCGTTCTAATACGCACTAAGGCCTTGCATGTTGGTTTAAGCATATGGGTGGTGTCTAGGGGGTGTCACTGGTGATGGCAGGAGGCACCACGGCGTCTACCTGGCCACGTCTACGCTGCTCTCACAGTTCGCTTGTTCTGGATTATGCTTCGACGGCCACGGGTATCCCTGACTTGGCGCGTTCCAGGTGGAATTGCATCTTTGTGCGTCACCCGGCCGACTGATGGTGTCCGTATTCCTTGCCATCGTCGAACGTCGGCAGCCGGCGGCGCGGCGCAAGGATGGTTTCTCCAAGACCACGTTTGGCGACGTGGATGACCACGGCTATTGGTGCGGCGCTCAGTGCCTTCAGCCGGCGGCAGCACTGTTGCGCGTCGACATCTTGGGCCATAGCAGTTTTGCCAGATCTAGGGAATGATGTTGAGGGGGAGGTGGAGGAGGGGGGTGCAGGAGATGGCGGAGGAGGCGCAAAAGGGATGAGTAATGGTCAGGAGCGAAATAAGGACGTGCATGTACATGCATCCGCGTTGGTTTCGAGAGTTCGGGCTGCGCGAATGTTCGCAACACGAGGCTGGCCTCGCGGACTCACGGGGGCGTATTCATGTACGTAGCTAAGCACGTATAGGAGGAGGAGGACCTAGGAGGAGGAAGAGGTGGAGGAGGAGGAGGACGACGACGAGGAGGAGTGAGGCGAAGGAGTGAGGCGAAGGGAGGGATGTGATGGAGCGAGGAGGAGTGGAGGAGGACGGAGTAAGATGACGGAGGAGGACGCAGGAGGAACATGAGAAATGAGGAGGAGACGGAGAATGGGAGGAGGAGGAGGACGGACGGATTGACGGGCGGTAGGGGGTGAGGGAGCAGGGGCGAGGAAGCAGGAAGAGAATAGGGGGGGAGCCAGGCGGAGGAGCGGGATCCAGGAGCAGGATGAAGAGAAGGGAGAAGGGTGAGGGAGGAGAGAAGAGAAGAGGACAGAGCAGGAGGAAGAGGCTGCCGGGGGGGGGGGGGGGGGCGAAGCCGCGCGGGCAGGCGAGCGGGGGTGGCTTCCGTCGGGAAAGCGGCCCTGTGGTCGACTGTGAGTGCGTGTCCGCCCCCCCGCCCCTCTCCTCCCTCCCGCCTCCTGCTCCTTCTGCTGCTCTTCCTCATTCTGCTCCCGCTCCCCCTCCTCAATCGTGCTCCTCCTCATCCTTCTTCCACCTCCTCCTCCTCCTCCTCCTCCTCCTCCTCCTCCTCCTCCTCCTCCTCCTCCTCCTCCCGTGCGCTTTGTGAGCTGGCGGCGGTGCCGACTCTTCGAGCCCGACGCCGCCCGCCCCCCTCGACTTGGAGGTGCCTGGGTTGGGGGGGGGTAAGTCAGGAGAGGAAAAAACACACAGACACAATTAATCGTCCACTCCCAGGAAAATATGGGAAAATATGGGAAGTGGTGGGGAAGACAAAAATCCAGAAAATATGGGAAAATATGGGGAATATTTTTATTTGTGTGTATTTATTTGTGTGTCCTGGGGCCCCTTCAGTAAGGTCGGAGGAGGGCGGAGGCGAAGGGACGAAGAGGAGGGGGGGAGAACAAGCAACTTGATGGGCGAAGGCATGGGGCAAGGAGGGCGAAAGAGACGAGAGGGCTGTACGCACCCCCGCCCCTCCGATCTTTTGGAGAGGGTCTCAGGTGCAAGAGATCCGCTCCTACTCCAGCTCCCAGTACCTCCTCCTCCGCCGAGGATGATGCTCACATCTGGTTCAGACGAGGCCAACCTGCAAGGCACCTCCCTCAGGGTCTAAATCGCGCGTCGATCCGTAGCCATCTCGGCCCAGGCGGCATGGTTCCCTGCGCTTGCAGCCGCCGTCGGGCCGACCGCAGCTTTTCGGGGCCCCGCTGCTCATAAGCACACCTCTTGAGTGGAGCTGGGGTGAATGCATTCAACGGGGCAGAACCGTGCACGTAGACCCAGACCTCCAAAGCATCGAGAAGATCACGACGGAAAGTGTTACCATGATCTCGGCTTCTGGGGGCCCGCTTCTGGGCCCCGGGACCTGGACCGGCGACAAGAAAGCAGCGGGGAAGAGCAGTCCCCAGAAGACGGCCGAGAGCTCCAGAGCTCGTATTGAAAGAGCGCGACCCTGAGGTCTTGAAATTCAAGTTCGATTGGCCAGCGAACAGTCAATCATATATTCTGGGATGGGGCGTTCCAGCAAGGGTGCCCCGCATCCTCGACTGTTCGGCCCATCCTCGGGGGATGTTTGTACTTCCGAGGGTCTTGCATGGCAAGGCTGTCCGCGACTCGAGCGATTCGATGAAGCTGTGTACGCGCGTGGATCCAGGCCTCCCAAATGGGGCTTGAGCAGAAGGGGTTACCGGATCGCGCCGCATCGGCGATGCGGTGCGCCCTTTCCGACCCCATTTGTTTTGGCCCCATTTGTAGGTTCCAAGGGACATCGATCGATTAGATTGTGCACCAGCCCCCATCTTCTCCATGCACGCGATTTCTTGACGAGTTCGACCTCGCGATCGGTTCGGCCGACCTGTGATCGAAAGGGCAGCCTCCGGACGGCGACCGTAGCAAACGAGCCTACCAGAAAGGTGTCGTCAATGGTGTTGGCAAATGCGGCGCGGTCCAGGAGCCCGACCGATATACTCGTGACTATCGCCTGACCCCCCATCCACTGCCCTCTCCTCACTCCCTCTCTCCTCCCTCATGATTCGCCCTCTTCTCGTCTCCTCCGCCCACCTTCTCCGCCCTCCTCCACCCACCTCATCCCGCACCCCTCCTCAGCTCTCCACCGCCCTCCCCCCCCCTCCTCTCCTCCTCTCCCGCTCCTCCTCGTCCATCTCCCCTGACTCCACTTAGGAGCTCCCCACTATCATGGCGCAGCCGCTGAGGCCCCTTATGTGCCCCGCCGGCAGCAACGTCGGTCGCCTCGCCGGCGCCGTGGCGGCCCGGATCCGGCAAGGCGCCGCGTGCGAGATCGAGGCGGTGGGCCCCGAGGCGCAGCACAAGGCGGTGAAGGCGGTGGGCATGGCCAGCAGGCGCCCCCCGCCGTCTCGAATAAGAGCAGGCGGCATAAACACAAAAAGGCTGGAAGCTCCGCGCGGCACTCCTGGATCTACGTTGGGCCCCCCCAGCGGCAGCTTCGGCGCCGCCCCCTGGCGCGCGCAGCGCGCCAGGGCGGGGTGTTCAGCGCCGATCCCAGAAATTCGCGCGGACACTCGGAAGTTTCTGTCTACGCAGTTGTTTCTTTTCCTATCGTCGCCGTTGAGCTCCTCCTCCTCCTCCTCCTTTCCTCCTCCTCCTCCTTCTCCTCTTCCTCCTCCTTCTCTTCCTTATCCCTCTCCTCCTTTTACTCCTCCTCCTCCTCCTCCTCCTCCTCCTCCTCCTCCTCCTCCTCCTCCTCCTCCTCCTCCTCCTCCTCCTCTTCCTCGGTCTTGCGGTGCGGCTCCTGCTTGAACACACGGGCACCTGCCAGGGTGGGCGGGTCCGCAGGTTCCTCGCCACTTGGGGAGTCCCTCCCACGCCTCGCCCTGCTCCCCCCTCGTTCCTCCCTCCTCGTCTAAAACGTCCCTCCTCCTTCCTTCTCCCCACCCTCCCCGCCCTCCACCCTTCCCTCCTCCCACTCCTTCATCATCCTCCTTCTCCTCCTCCCAGCCAGCAACCCTGGCCAGGGTTCCTCTGGGGCTGGGTGCCATGGAGCCACGCCCGCATCGGCAGCGCACCTGCCCGAGCCAGGGAATCAACTGCTGACCGACGAAGCGTCCGCGGATTAGATTCCCCCCGAAGCGAAAGTCAAAACAGTCGTCCATCTCCTCCCCCTTCTGTCTCATCCAGGAACTCCGATCCTCGAGCCTCGAGGATCGAGGAGAAGGACCGAGACATTGGCGCCGTGACAAAGATCTCGCCCGGATCTGCCGACCATACCGCAGCAAGGCATCTCATGTCTCGGGTCAGGCCGATCCGTGAGGGGTCCTTCGGGCCCAGGATTTGGGCGCATGACGTGTTTGCTCAGGACGCCAGACTTCAGGCGAGGATAAGGACGAAGATCGGCTGTGGACAGAACCCCCACCCTGACACGTCGATTAGTGAATTGTCCGTTTTCGGTTCTCGAGAGGGCGCCGCGGCCGTCATTTTCCAAGCTTGCGCCCGGCAGGTTTAGGCCCGAGATCGTTTTCACTGAATCACGTTTTACTAAAGGGGGTTCTGTCCATCCCCGAGAGGAGGAGGAGGAGGAGGAGGAGGAGGAGGAGGAGGAGGAGGAGGAGGAGGAGGAGGAGGAGGAGGAGGAGGAGAGAGGAGGAGGAGGAGGAGGAGGAGGAGGAGGAGGAGGAGGAGGAGGAGGAGGAGGAGGAGGAGGAGGAGGAGGAGGAGGAGGAGGAGGAGAGGAGGAGGAGGAGGAGGAGGAGGAGGAGGAGGAGGAGGAGGGGAGGAGGAGGCGGAGGAGGAGGAGGAGGAGGAGGAGGAGGAGGAGGAGGAGGAGGAGGAGGAGGAGGAGGAGGAGGAGGGGTGAGAGGATCGAGATTCGAGGTATCTGAGCGTCGTGTTGGTTGCTCTCTTGAGCCTGCAGAGACCTCTGGAGACGAAGACGCCACGGGGTAAACTAGGGGGCGTTCCAGATGACACATGTTCTGGAGGGGGGAGGGGTGGCCGTCTGGTCGCGGTGATTTGGATTTGGTGCATGTTGGCGGAGATCCACGCATCAGGCGTACAGCTTGGATGGGGCGTCCCAGGTTGTCTCCAGGTACAGCTACCAACAAAAGAGGCCCACTGCAGTAAACGGGATGAGAGAGAGAGGGAAGCGAGAGAGAGAAAGAGAGAGAGTGTGCGTGCTAGGCGGAGAGATTGAGAGAGGATAGACATGAGAGAACGGGTTATTGAGGAAAGCGGCGCTTGGACCCAGGGGCGTCCTCAGGAGAGGTGTTTCGCCCCGAATCGTCTTTCTTGGTTGTAGGCCGAAAGCGGCGAAAACAGCTGATGACATTTCTCACGTAGGATCGGTTCTGTTCCACGGCGAGCAAGAAGGGGGAGGACGTTATGTTCGCCCGTCGAGAAGTCGAAAGGTCGAAGGGAGGAGGGGAGGGGAAGGAGGCGGAGGAAGGGGATGCAGGAGAGAGGAGAGAGGCGGAGGAGGAGGAGGAGGAGGGGGATGACGACGACGACGAGAAGGTCGACAAGGACGAGGAGAGGGAGGTGCCCGTCGGCACGGCCGGCAGGTACCTGCAGGACGACAACGCCGGCAGTCGCCTCGTCTTCGTGCCGCGGCGGGCGTCGCTGGCGGCGGGGCGGGGCGGCCAGCCGGAGACGGTCATGTTGCGGCTGCAGTGCCACTTGCTCGCTGGGCTGGAGTCCACGGACTGCACGGGGGACGAGCATATCTAATGTGCATGCCCTCGCGGTCTGGACACCGAGTCGCGATGGCCTGGCTGCGCTGCCCCGTGGGTGCGCTCCGCACGAGCGGCATCAGCACGAAGCTGCCCTGCGTCCACAGGGCTGCGGCCACGAAGTCCAGACCGCGAGGCCGCGGGTGTGCATGGATATGTTTCCCCGAGGACTCTCGCGACGTCATCGTCGGCGGCGCGCAGGGGAGGGCAGAGCGATTCCGCCTTTCGTCCGCCCCTCTCTGGTTCAGGGGGGTCGCGTTTACCAAAGGGGCTTGGCGTGGCTTGCATGGGTGTTCTGTTTCTGTGAGGGCCGTTCTTCGCGGTTCTTCTTCTTCCCCCAATTGGGGCTCTTGGGCGGCGGCGGGGTGGGGGGGGGGGCCGTGGCTACGGCTGGACGCAGCTTGGAAAGTTTGAGGGGAGGTGGGGTGACGGGGGTGTGGCCTTCTCAGCGGGCAGCCGCCTCTCACGAGCCCTCCCGCCTCCCTGGAAGCCTTCCCAGAGGCCCTCCCAGGTCGGGGCAGATCCCCTCTGAGAGGCCGCCGGTCTTCTCAGAAGGCTGCCCCCCTCGCCCTGCCCCTCCCGGCTCGCTGCCGGTCATCGTCGGCGGGGACACCAATCCTGGGTTGGCGGCGAAGACGGTGCAGGAGGTCTTGGCGCAGAGGAGCGTCGCCACCATCGGCGGGATGGGGCCCATGGCCATGAGCCGGGCGCTGAAGACGCTGGTCGTCGCCAACGTCTACATGCGCAAGTCCCTGCGCCCGGGGGAGGCGATTCTTGCCGCGCCGAGCGTAGAGGATGCTGGGCCGGATGGCGATCGCATCCGTTTCTTGCTCACCTGCACGCGCGGCGAGGCAAAGCGTGCGTCTGCAGCGGGGACTCCGGAATGACTGGCGGCCGCAGCAGCGTAAAAAAGATGCGTTGAGAATAGTGTGGACGAGTTTATTTGTGGACACTGTTCATCCAGACATTCGTGGCGGTTCTGGTACATCTCGTCCTCATGTCCCTCATGCCACATATTCCCTCATATTCGCAGCTTGTTCGCAGCTTAACCACATATTCCCACATAGTCCCTCATGCCACATGTTCGCAGCTTAACCACATATTCCCTCATGCCCAGACCACCAACCTATCCGACGGCTGCGTCGCCGATACATGGACAATCGCTAATTAGCGGACGGCTCAAACCCGCCATGTGTAAACGTAGTTTCAGGCTTGGCGGCTCCCCGAGAGTCGAGACATAGTAACCTCATTTCAGGTCGCCGAGCATGCTAGCGTCGTCGCGATGGTGTTGCCAGCTTCTCCTTGGCACATCTCGTCCTCGTCTCCTCCTCGGCTTCTTTGAGCAAGTCCAGTCATTGCATTATGCTCTCACTGTGTTCTCCTCCTCTCGACCTCCTCCCCCCGCTCTCATTTTCATGTTCTCCTTCGCTCGTCGGAGAAGCCTTGCCCATTCTCAGGAGGGGAGCGGCAAGAGAGAGCGAAAAGGGGAGGATAGGGGGACGGAGGAAGGGTGGCAGGAGGGCAAGCAGGAGGAGGACTAGAGGGGGGACGCTGGGGCACGAGAAGGAGGGAGAGCATGAGGGGAAGGAGGGGGGCGAACGCTACTCTCCTTCTTCATCATCTCGCCTCCTGCCAGCCTCCTCTCCCCCCGGGGAACAGGAGGGGCAGCAGCAGCAGCAACAGCAGGGCAGAGAGGGGGGGGGGATCGGGAGAGAGGAGGAGGGCGAAGAGAGAGAAGAGAGAGAAGAGAGCGACGACGACGACGACGATGACGACGAAGACGAAGTCGAGAACGAAGACGAGGACGAGGACGAGGACGAAGACGAAGACGGTAGCGGCAACGGTGGCGGCAGCGGTGGAGGCGGCGGCGGCAGCTGCGGCGACGACGACGGCCCTACCACCGCGCACGCGCCCAGGGCCAGCGCCAGCAGCGCGACGGGCACCTACTTCGGGCTGAACAGCGCCCTCTCCGCCGAGGCGCCGCCCAGCAGCGGCACTGGCGGCGTCGGCGCCGGGCGTCGCGACGCCCGGGGGTGGTCCTGGCGGGCCCCGAGAGAGCAGGCGGGTCGGGTCGCCCAGGGTGCGTCCTGGGCGGCGGCGGCGGCGTCCCCAGAGCTCGCCGTGCAGGCATCGGGGCGGCCAGCCTGTCGCCGCCTCTGGTCTCCGGGAAGCCAGCTCCGAGCTTCGGGGCCGGTCCAGAAAACGGTTCGGGACGAAGAGGCGGGCCCCCTGGAGAGCGGTCGCGGGTTCTGGGGGGCGCACGCATCGAGCGAAGTCCAGGCGTCGGATGTCTGGGGCGGCGGCGACGGCGAGGGGCAGGGCAGCGGCGAGGGGCAGCGCAGCGGCGGCGAGGGGCGCAGGCAGCCGCGGACGAGGCGTCGGCATCCGCGTGTGTGGGGGGGGAGGAAGATCAGCGGTCGAAGCACGGTACGTATTAAATCATGTGTTCATTTTTGTTGTAGCTTTGGTGCGCTGTACAAAAGCTTTGGTGCTTTAGCTTTGGTGCTTAGCTCTGGTGCTTTAGCTTTGGTTCTTTTTTGATTTAAATCATGTGTTCATTCATACATATTAAATCAGAAGAAGAACGGAACATGTGGTTTTGCTTTACGCCGCGTACATTCGTTTTAAACATGTGCAAGAGGTGAACGGATTGAGGGTGGGTCGTTTTCAACATGTGGTTCTCGCTGTAGCGCCGCGCACATGTTCCGAAATGTGCACTGGTGTCCCAGATTGAGGGCGGCTCGTTTTCAACATATAATTATCGCCTTAGCGCCGCGCACATGTTTTTTGATTAAGAAGTGCAGGAGTGTCACGGATTCCCATTGTCAACGTGCCACGAATGATGTTTTGGGTGGTTCATGATTGTGAGGGCGCAACAATTACGTTGATTGTGTTCTGGTAGGAATCCAGATCGTCAAGGCGCAACAGTCATGTTGTCTCGTGGCGTTGGAGTCCCGAGAATGGTGTTCCAGCACGTTTCAGGATCTACAAACAGTTGTTTCCCAACGAAGCAGGCCCCCCAGTGGAAATGAACTCTTGTAGGGGCCTATGAAAAGGGAGCCTGGAGGGAGGGTCTCCCAACCTCGTGGATGAATCTCTTGGGTTTACGCTGGAGGTCCTCCTACTCCTCGTCCTCCCTCTCAACCCCCTCCTCCTCCTCCTGCTTCTCGTCCGCCTCGTCTTCCTGCTGCTCCTCGCGGTCTTCATCGTAGTGCTCGTCATCGCCGTCGTTGTCGTCGTCGTCGTCGCGGCGGAAATAATTGTCCCTCTATTGTTGGGTGGGCTGGATGCTGTTGTGGTGGTTCTGGAATAATCCATTGTCGGTTACCCTACTCGCCACAGGATGTGTTACCATCTTTTTGTATGAGGATTGCAATAAGATTCAGTGGATGCGATTGTAGTCGTGATTGTAATCGTGATGGTTGTCGTGATTGTGGTCGTAATTGCTGTCGTGGTCGTAGTCGTAATCGTCGGCGCAATTGTAGTCGTGGTCGTCGTATCGTGATCGCAGTCGTAATTGTAGTCCTCGTCGTCGTTGTTGTGCGGCGGGTGCCGCGGGGAAGTAACTATTCCCATTAATGGTGGGACCCCAGTCCGTCAATAAGGTCGTCGAACGGGTAATTTGTTTCAACGACTGGGGGTGTTCGAGAGACCTGTAGAGGTTAAGTTCACGGTGGCACGCGAGGGTAGAAAACTCCCATCACCGACGACGGAACATATTCTTGCCTTATTGGAGAAGGGGGAGCAGAATGGGGGCTTTCGACGCCTGGCGGCCGCCTCGGGGCCACGGGGATGTCAGAAGACGACCTCGGGGCGAAGAGCCAGCCCTGCAGGGAGGGCTCGAGAGTTCCAGTGGCCAGCGGCTCGAAAAGGTCAATTCGTCGGAGGTCTTGGCTCGATCCGAGGAGCAAGAAGTCATTGATGCCGCCCTGGATTTCCAGGTTCGCATGTGTTGTCTCCCGCGGACTCCAGGGACGAGGGCCGTAGATGGTCCCGTACTCTCAGAACGCACGCTGAGCCAATCGCATCATGACATCATGTTCGTCTTGTTCGAGGATGACGGGCGGGAGGAGGAGAGGGGAGCCCAGACCCAAGGCGCGCTGGAGAAGGCATGACGGCCAGCTTTTCCCAGTCTGGGCTTCGGGAGGTCGGTTCCAGGACCAGGACAGTTCAGCTCGACATTCGACACTTCGTTTATCCATCTAGTGGTTCCCTGCCCATCCCGCCATTGCGTTTGGATTGCGGCCCAGGGGCCTCTTGGGGGCTTCTTCGATTCTGTTGGGGGACCTGTGGGGGGCCTCTTGGAGCCTTGAGCCTCTCGAGGCCTCCTCGGGGTGCACTGGGGGCCTCCTCGGGGTGCACTGGGAGCCTGCTGGCGGTTTCGGGGGCCGTCTTGGGGTGAGGGTGCCCGTGGCCCTTTCGAGTTCCCCCTTTGGGGTGGGCATCTCCCGGGCGCTTCTTGGGAAGTCGGAGGCCATTCGGCGTTCCCTCGCGTAATTGATGGTGCGATGTTGATTTGTTTGATTGCCAGATGGGGACGCCACTGCTGACGACAGAGGAGTTCATCCTTCCCGTGGTGTTCACCATTGCATTGGGCGAGTCTATCTCGTGGCATCCGCTTCGCATGTAGAGAAAATGCACTTGCCTGATCTCTCTCTCTCTCTCTTGCTCTCTCTCTCTCTCTCTCTTTCTCCCTCGCTCTCCCTCGCTGTGTCTCTCTCTCTCTCTCTCGCTCGCTCTCTCTCTCTCTCTCTTTTTCTCTTTCTCTTTCTCTTTCTCTCTCTCTCTCATTATCTTGTTTTTTTTCTCTCTCTCTCTCTCTCTCTCTCTTTCTCTCCCTGGGCATAGCGCGCAGGCGGCCCCGTTCGTGATGGACTGCGGCGCGGCGAAAGGTGAGGGTTGGAGAAGAGGAATGATGAAACACCGCAGTCGATGAGGATGGTAGGTCTGGAGTTGCGCCGCTGTCTCTTAAGGAGGCGAACCGATAATTACCAAAGCAAGTTGCCAACAGTAGGATCAGCCACTGAAAACAAGGTTTTAAGGAGAAACTGTATAGCGCACGCTATATCCGGCACCGTCTTGGCGCAAGGCACCGCTGTCGTATTTGCGAGTTGCACCGCCTTGTGTGACTCTCTTGGGGTCATAGCATCGGACAAACGGCCACGTGTATCTATGATTCGCCCCTCTATCCCGTGGCTTCTCTGTTACTCTCGTCATGCTTGCCATCAGCGGATGAGTTGTGGGAGACCTCGGTACGTCGCCGATGTTCTCCTCAGAGCAGGGTCCTCAGCTTATTTCCCCATGGATTGGGCCTGCACCCTGACTTTTCACTTGTTAGCAAAGTTGGCTACATCTTCGTGTGGTTGGCTCTTACATCGTGTGTTATGTACATTATCAATCTACCGTGGCACAGTTGAGTACCCGATTGCGCCGGCTCTCAGCCACTGTATTCCCAATGCTCTCAGACCAATGGGTAACCTACAGTCCTATTCCTCCATCCGCCCACCGCGTGGCCATGCGCCGCGTACAGCCCAAACAGATATTCCTCCGCAAGCCGACGGCCACGTCAGACCACGCACCCAGTCGTAACCCAACGGGCGCGACAATATCCAATGATGACCAACCTTACATCATCAGGCATTATGTTAAGGTCGCCATTTTTGGAACTATTTCGGTCTGCCTGGGCTTTGCCGTGGCATACATGCGAGGAGGAGGAGGAGCGGATGAAACCCGCACTCGAGGTCCCTCCTGTGACCCCGCAGGCAACGTACCCTTTCGTGACTTTGTTCGCGAAGCACACGCATGGCTCAACGTCACAAGCGGAAGCATGACTCCACCTCACCAGGCCGGTGTTTTACAGCGCGGTCTCGGAGGATTGGCTAGGACACGAACCATGAAGGTGCCATCCACCATCATCAACCATGATGTTACGTTATAGGGGAGACGCTCCGACGGAGCCACATGCATCATGTACCTATTGAGCACTCAGTTCGAAAACCTTGAGGACGAGCGACAGCTCATCTCGGGGACAGCCCTCATCGACTTCAGGGTCTATAGAGGCGAACGCATTGACCCAGTGCTGGCCCGATTTGAGATGGCCAGGTTGGAAGCAGACTCAGCAGGTTTCGACATCCCCAACTTCCAGATCGTTGCCCTGATCCTATTTTGCGCCGTGGGAGTTGGTACCTTCCGAGCGGCACAGCTACTGCAGCCGCTGAATCATCAGATGCCCCGCTGCGCAACAACAGTGCGACCAATCCTGGAGCGAATGCGCAGCCATGGACACTTGGCTGAGCGTTCACAAGGCAGCATCTGGAACATCTTCAGCGGGCGCAGCGCTGGCACATACCGCGCCGAGATAAGCGATGCACCGGCAGCCATGCCGAATAGCATCTGGAATGACGGGTACCCCACTGCGCCCACTACGCTTCTAGGCCAAGCCGACAAAGACGACAACAAACAGGCGCCCGGCTCAAATATGGTCTGGCCGTCAGCGGCTGGCTACACACCATTTGAAGCGACTGCCCTCTGGGGCTCGCCCAGCCGTCAGGACGGCGATGTATTCGACTCCGGTACGGACGCCGATGCGGTCTCCTCTACCAGTGCCGAAAACCTCGATTGGCCAGACCTAGCCGGTGATGATGCAGCCACGCAATACCTATACTTAAGATTTCGCCACGCAAAAAGAAGGTGGAGACGACGCATGAAGAAACCAGTCAGGAGAGTCAGGCGAGCTGTGCGTCGTCTCTTTTTTCCGCAAAGGAAAAGGCGGTGGCAAGGGTGGTAGACGCACCCGCAGGTTGCATAGCAAAGGCGTGGCCTCGTTCTTGGCTCGATCGATTGACTACGACTTTGAAGAATTATTCCTAGGAGGTAAAGGCAGAGGCAAAAGTCATAGGCGCACCACAGGAAAAAGGCAAGGGACGCAGACTCAACCCAAGAGGTAAGGACGGGAAGCGAATGACATGCAACACCTGCG